AAAAGACAAGCTGTGTTAAGTCTAATAAACCTAAGAATAGTTCTAGAGACTTAACTGCCCTGGTGTTTGGGATGAAATTAGATTAAACAAAGAACCAGTGTTGGCATCTTCTGGTTTGCCAGAACTTCACATCTCTAGAGTCAGGTGGTTTTTTTGTTTTGTTTTTTGTTTTTTAAAAATTTAATATTTTATGGATTTAGAGAGGGAGAGACAGCATGGGCACGGGAGGGGCAGAGGGAGACAGAGAGAGAATCTCAAGCAGATTCCTCAAGCGTGGAGCCCAATCAGGGGCTCCATCCCATGACCCTGAGATCTATGACCTGAGCTGAAATCAAGAGTCCGATGCTTAACCCACTGAGCCACCCGGGTGCTACCGTCTATAGAGTCTTTAAGGAACCCACAGATGCTTGGTTGCCTCCCACTTCTCTGAAGCGACCTGCTCCTTGAGTTCTGGACTCCTTCAAGTTATAGAATCTTTGGGAAATAATGTCTTACTTGAGATTATTGATTATATGTTTCATTTAAATAGTAGTGTTAAAAAAAGGATTTTCTTGTTTATTCCCTATGCAATAAACAATTTTCAGCAATACTATTGATTTAATAGGCATTTTGTGATGTTACCCTTAGGATATAATCACCACTTACTATATTCTTTCTGTGGACAAATGCACCTAATTTGTGTTGAAAAGAAGGAACAAAAGGAAGATTTTTGCATAAAAATAGAAGTTTTTTAAAAAATAATTGTTAACTATCTTTTTTGGCGGTGGGGTGGGGGGACATTGCTGGGTGCGGGGAGGCAGAGATGAGTTCTGGTCTCCAACATCCATCAATTCACAATATAAAAGAAGGAGCAAAGCAACCACACAGATACACACACACACACACACACACACACACACACACACACACAGGCAGCCACCAAAGAGGAGAAGCTTCAGGGGAGGAAATGTTCCTGGGGACTTGACTCTTTCATTTCACAGCACACCTTCTTGTGTGGGTGTCCTGAGCCCCTGCCTGGTAATCCATATAAAAGAGATAGGACAGTCATTTTGAGTTTTTGTGTGTGTGTGTCCTATACAGAGAATTTAGCCAGGCTAGGTAAAGTGATGGGCTGGGGCCAGGATTTTAGAACTCGAAAATATTTTGCTGCCTGTCTGGAAGCTGACCATGATGAGAGTTGGCTATAGGCCTTAGCAGATGCATTTCCTAAGGATTTTCTGATTAATGAGTCCAGAGGGCCTCCCATGGGGCAAGACAGTCATGTTATTATCAGATTACCAGGAAATAGGGGAATCTAAAGGTTGAAGTGAATGATGGGACACCAGGAGTATCAGCCTAGGTTCTCATAAACACTTTTGTTTCCAGGACATGCAGGGACAAGGAGTGGCTTCAAGCATGTGTGACTTCAGGGGAGAGGGAGGTGATTTTCCAAGTGCACCTCCATGTTTGCAGAGACGCCCATGAATGCTGTTCCAGCCTGCAAAAGCTACCCCTTTGCAGTGGACATCCATCATGACATCTAACAGCTCAGCACTTTCCCAGGACCCCTTGTCAGTTTGAAATTTTCCAGATTTATGATTCCATTTCCTCACGAAGGAGCCAGAAACTTCTTTTTCCAGATTCCTTTGCAGCTGGATAGAAGCGTCGGTCTGGCCTCCTTAGATGCACCGGTGCAGGACTTTGATTAGCAGGAGAGTTTGCAGAGGCAGGGGTGCTGAGTAGAAGAAGCCTTTGGATGAGGGTGAGGGAGAGACAGTGGGGCTTACAGAGGCAGGGGTTTTGATGGTCCTAATAGCAGTTCCCCTATAGCACTGTAATAGCAGTGTCTCCAGGGACAATTAATTAGAATGTTGGTCCTTGCTGAGGAGCTGCCAAGCCTAATGATCCGGCCTTCCCAGATTCCACTGTGGAATCACCAGTGGAGCCCAGTGAATGCCATGGAGGTAGCCACAGTGAGATGTTTGCAACCAAACATCTTACTCCCCATCCTTGCACATATAGGGCATACCAAAAAACTCTGCAGCCAAATTAATATTTTCATGTACCCTTTTAGTAAACATTTTAGGTATTCCAGCCCTGCAGAGAAAGTATGCATGTGCTTATCCTTATTTTAAAGTCAAGGAAACAAGACTTTTCAGAAAAGTCTAGCAATGTATACTCTAGTGATATAGTACACCCAGGTTAAAACTAGAGAACCAGGCTTTCTGACTCGTTGTGAAGGGTTTTCTCTACACAAACCTGCCTCACTATGTAAGGAGACTTGAATCCTATCCTTGATTGAATTCAACTAGAAATTCTCAAAAACATAAAAATCCTTCCAAGTAGCTATTGGCTTAGGATACTCCTATGACAGGGGGCAGGGCTGGGGCTAGGGTGAAGAAGTACAAAATGTAATGGGCACCGAAAAGTGCAGTGATGGAGATATTTTAATGTGATATTTTAAAAATAAAAATTAATGGGAAAAAAGCCACGATGAACAAATATCCAAATTGTAAATAGAAACAGGATCAGTATGAATGATTTTCCCCTTTGTCTCAAGCTCTGATATAAATACTGATCCTGTCTTTAGGGAACCTATACATATTATTTTAAAATAAGTTAACCACACAAATTGAGCTACCTAATTGTCTTCTCAGATATTCCAAGTTTGAATCTTTCCCTCCCGGTATGTGAATTTTCTCCAGCAGGATCCATAGCGGCATCTCTCTATGAGCATTCCGGAGCCCATAAATTTGGATTAGATCCGAATATCTGTGTCCAGACCTGTCTGGATCTTGCAGAAATGTTAACTCTGGCTGAATCTCTAAAACTACAGAGTAAAGGAGACAGAACGAAACAAAGGGAAACATAAGATTAAATTTTAATGAATATCTGGGCTGTTGGCCGTCCAGCACCTCTACACAGATGCCTTGATAAATCGTAATGATGATGATGGCCATTAACATTTATTTGACACTGTTCCAGAAACTGAGTTAGACACTTTAAACAGATGATGGCTCTTGTCACAGTCCCTGTAAGGGAGGAGAAGCTCAGGAGGAAAGTGAGGTTGAAGACCCTAGTTACCAAATGGCAGAGCCGCAGTACAAACCCAAGGCAGACAAACTCCAAGGCTCAAGTCTTCCTGCTATAATCGGTTTCCTTTCATGGAAGTGGCCTTGTTACCTCCCAGAAATCAAGAAAGTCTGAGGACTATGGAGCGCCCAGACTGGCTTCGCCCAGCAGGCCAATGGCTATCATTCTGATGGCCTGAGGAAAGCCACACCTTCTCTTTGATGAGTGACCTGCAATCCCTGTCCCATGACCCGGCACCGCTGAATTATCCCTGCTGTGTCAAGAACTCTGTCCAGTCCCAAAGGATAGCCTCACAGATTTTTATGTTCATTACATTAACCCAGAAGCTCTAATATGAGAAGAATGTCTTCAGAAGGCATCCTAACACAGATGGGGAAACTGAGACTTAGGTCAGTAAAGCAAATGTAATAGTGAAAACTGGGGCCAGAACCCAGGCAGGACGCTGCTGTATTGTACAGCTGCTCAGTTAGTCCTCACCCTATGTACCCAAAAGGCTATGCTGCATCAGTGGGGCTGGAGACTCTCCTTAAAAGGTTTAGCTTGTAGGCCAGAGGTCAGACACTGGCATTTTCTGGGCCAAATCTAGTTTGCAGATGTGGTTTTTTTTTCTTCGTTTGTAAAGTATTTTTGAAAAATTTGAACTAGCTGATATCATTTAAAAAATCAAGGGTTTTTACCTACAAATCCAGATTTCTGGCTTCTTTTGACAAATTCCAAGACTAGGATACACTGGAACCATTTTCACAGATGGCCACTATTGGCCAGGGCCGGTGGTATGTTGGAGCCCACTCAGACTGGCCCGACGAGCCAATTGTAGAGTGTTCAGAAATGCTGTCGGTCAACTGTTAAATGCTTGATAGCCTGAAGCCAGCCGCAGTGGGATTATTTATACCACAGACACTGGCCAAATGACAAATTAGAGCTTCGATTTCCCTTGCCTTCCCTCTGTCCCTCCCTCCCTTCCTTCTTCCTTTTTTTCTTTCCTTCCTTATTTCTTTCCTCCTCCCTCCCTCTTTCCTTTTTTCCTCTCTTCTACTCTTGCTTGCTTGCTCACTTATTTACTTACTATTTTTCTCCTTTTTTTTTTTTTTTGGAGTGCCAATTTATCACTGTAACACTGGCTGAAACTAAAGAGAATTCACCCTGTTTAGAAAAACACAGTCCCAATGGGCCATCTTCCCATATATATGTTACCCCCTGGCTGGGGAAGGCACTGGAATTCTCATCTCCTATAATAGACTGTGGCTATAGATGGTGACCTTCCTAAAGCAAGCTTGCGTATTGTTGAGTAGGGGAAAAAAACTAGTCATCACAGTCTTGCCTTTAGGCTCTTTTATGTTTCTTATTCAAATATAACACAAATGTGCAAAACCAAAAAGCCCAGCTCAGGGAATTATGGTAAAATGAGCTTCACTTAACAATATCCAATTTGAGAAAGGAAATAATGACAGTACAACCAGAGGCCCCCTGGTAACTTACCCCCTTCCTCCTTCCGAAAGGTAACCATTCTCCTAACTTCTAACACTATAATTTCAGGTTGCTTTCTCTTGTGGGCAAATATATTTTACATCCAGCTTCTTTGATTCGACATTCTATTTGTGAGTTCCAGTCGTGTTTTGGAATGGAAGGATTCCACTGTTTTCCTGTAAATATTCCGTAACTTATTCATTCATTCGACTTTTGGGGGTTTTCCAAATTGAGCTGTTTTAGCCTGGGTTCCCCCAAGATGAGAGCCTAAGACAGAGGTTTACCTGTGAACACTTCATTCAAGAGTGTGTTTCCTGGGAGTCGGTGTGCAGGCCACGGAGAGAGTGACATGGAAGAAGGGTGGCCAATAGATGGGTGTGTTGCTAAGCTAACCACAGTCATAGTCACAGGTGCTCAATCCTGCCAGCGTCTTCTGACGGGCCAGGTGAAATGTATTTCAGAACTGTTCACCAGGGAGAACAGAAGTGGGAACATTTATCCATTGCCCATCGGCTCCTGCCTCTCGTTGGTCAGGGATGATCCCACCAGTATAGCTTCTCCTGTTCTGCAAGGTCGTGCATGCATGAGTTTTCCAAAGGAATCCCACGTCAGAAGTGCTCCATGGCAGGAAGTCAAATGTATGTGGTGTAGGTCCTCGACGAGGCATGGACCTTCACCTGCAAGAAGCCAAAGTCTGCATGAGTTCAACTGTGACAGCAAAGGTAAGGTCAAGTGGATTCTGAAGTTGTGTAAAAGAGATGTCCATGTATTGGCTTTTCTGAATTTGCGAGCGTTCTTACCCACGCGCCTTGGTGCACACGTGCACATATTTCTGTTAGGTATATTCATAGGAGTGGAATTGTTGGAACAGAGATAGTTATGTGTTTAAGCTTAGGAGATATTGCCAAAGAGTTTTCTAAAGTGGTAATATTTATTTCCATTCCCACCAGCAATGGATGACAGTTGAAGTTGCTCCAACATCTTGTGTTGTCATATCTCTTTTTAAAATATCATTTAAAAGATACATACAGATTTTTTCCCTAATATATACAGCTTTCTAATCACTATCAACTGTTGCCAGATTGTGTCTCCTTAGCTGCTTGGTTCACTTAACATCACATTTTACATCTGGTCATTTGAGTGCTGTGTCCTGGGCTGCAGATGTGCTCATGTATTCTGGGCTATTGTGGTGAGATCAACAACTTTGCACTTGACCTCAGTGGCAATCCAAAGAAAACAAAGGGAAAGGAACAAGACATTTAACATCCCCAGAAGAAGTCACCATAATTGATTACACTTCATGTATCAGGAAACCATTCCAAGTCTTTGACTAATTTGAGACTCCCTGTTGTGATAGAGAATCTCTTCCTTGATGAGATGTTATAATTCTTGCCAGTAGTATCTAGGGACCTGCTTTTCTCTGCTCAGAGTCTAGGTTGTCTGTAACATGTACTCCTTTTTTTTAAAATTATTTATTTATTTGGGGCAGAGAGAGTATGTGAGCAAGAGTGAATTGTGGGAGAGGGGACAGAGGGAGAGTGAGAGAGAGAAACTCAAGTAGACTCCTCCCTGAGCACGGAGCCCAACATGCTCATAAACCTGAGATCAGGACCTGAGCTGAAATCAAGAGTCAGAGGCTTAACCGACTGTCACCCAAGGTGCCCCACTGTGGTCTTTAATAGAGAAATAGGAAGGAAGGAGAGACCACCCTTCAAGTCAAGGTCTGGCCCCAGATTCCCTTTCTCCTTTGTTCCCATCCAAGGTGAACCACCACCTGACTCCCCTGTAATGCAATGAAACAGCCAGTGCTCTCATTCTGAAGTGCTCCCTTCCCTTCCATTGACCATAATGACATTTCCTTCTGTGTGGTCATCTTGGCCTGAGCTTCAGAGTAGCAGCTCCTAGATAATGCCCCAAGTCTTGGAAAACCACACTTAAGTATCTCTAGCTTCTAAACATCCTTTCCAAAGATAGGGAAGTGGGCTACATGGATTATAAGTGGAAAGAGTTTCTACTTCAAAAGCCTCCAGAAGCTCCCCAAGGTCCACTGTTTTCTCTGGGGCCTGCTCTGACCATTTTACTCCCTGACCACGAAGAGCAGAGGCTCTTTAGTGCCTTTAGTCCTGCCTCTACCCTGTGTGCTGGCCCGGCCCCCCCACCCCCCAGCCTCTAATACAGGCTGTTCCTGGGCACATTGCTGGCCCACCTTGCTCTGCAGGACCATGGAGCTGTGCCTACTGTGGGCTGTCCTAGGGGACCTGGCTGGTCCTCTTGCCTAGAAAGATGCTTCACCCACTCAGGGCTTCCTGCCTGAACAGCCAGTGTTCATTGCTGGACTCACCATATGTGCTTACTGAGCAATTTCCAGGCATCTATCTCGTTTAATTCTTGCAGCTCTTTGAGGCAGCCGCCAGAATTAACCAACTTTACAGCTTGGGGGACTGTCTTTGGATACCCAGTTAGGAAGTGGTCACAGTGGGATTCAAACCCAGGTAGTGGCCTCCAGAGTCCACCCCCTCAGTGACTATGTGGTACCTGCATTTCTTGCTCAGTCCCCCAAACAGACTCTCAACAACCAGCTATTTACCTTAACTTCCTTTTTTTGTGCTCGCAGCTCCTAGGACTGTCCTAAAAATGACTCCAGGGAATTTGATTGGGATGTATCCCTACCCCTTGTCTTCTCCCAAGGCCTCCTGAACCTCCTGAGATCAGAGCCCTTGTGTTTTGAGCTGTGCATTGGTATAGACCATAGTCTAGACTTTCAGCTTCAAACCCCAGCTCTGCCATTTAGCACATGTGAAAACTGAGCATGTTGTTAGATGCTCCAAGGCTTGGTTTCTACACTTGTACCATGGGATCATACTAATGCCTGCCTAATAGGGCTTTTCATAGGATTAGAGGGGTTGATGTATGTCAACACTCTCATACAGTACTGGGCATGCCGAAGGGTGCAGTGAAAATCCGATTTACTACTAACAATATTCCTGTTCGGTTTTTGAAATCTGAAGGTTGAAAAGTGCAAACACAGATTTCTTTTGGTTCATGGTTTCTCCAGGTCCTTTTCCCCTAAACCGTGTTTTAGGGCCACTCTTCCCCACAGCCATTTCACATGGCTTTGGAGCACCACACACTTTCCTATCACCACTTTTCTGGTTGTATAAGGACTCGGCTCTTTTCTCCATTTGGAGAGGACACCCAGCTCTTCCTGGTGGCCCTGGCTCAAAGCCTGTGCCACTGGTGTAGCCCTAGTGGATGCAAAGTGCCTCCCCTGGAATTCAGTGACTCAGAGGCTCATTCCATAGGAAGAGCTCAGAACATGTGAGGTCCTGGGTAACAGCGGATTATCACCTTAAATCAGAGGTCTTGGGTTCCCCTCCTAGACTTTAGAGCTGAGTCTTACTAACAGTCTGAGCCGGTGCATCCACTGGCAGGATAATGAGAGCCCCAAGGTCAAGCCTCACATATGGAATTTTTGAGTTTTCTAGGGGTTACCCATTTAAACAGGGAAAAAAGAGAAAGACGTGAATTAATTTTACCCATACATTTTATTGAACCCAATGTCCAAAATATTATCAGATCAACATATATTTCATTATTAATGAGATAACTTACATTTTTAAAATTTGTACTAAATCTTTAAAATCTGCTGTGTACTTTATACCTACAACACATCTTAACTTGCACTGCTCATTTCAAGTGCTCAGCAGCTCTACGTGCCACTCACTACTGCGGTAGACAGTGTGGCTGTGAGCCATCAGTCCAAATGATCCCTGTCTCCTTAGACGGTTCCTGTTAGAGGTCTCTGTTCTGACAGAGGAAGCATATAGCACAGTGCCTGGCATGTGTGGGAGGGCGATGCCCGTGTTATTCTCTCCTTTTAGTTTTCGCTTTTACTAAATCATCCTCACACTGACTTATCCTTTCCCTCTTATTTTGTTAGATTGTTCACCTTTTCCAGGTGCTGGGAAGGGAGCTGAGAGGCCTGGAGGCAACATTTAGAGCAGTGTTGGGTGACATCCCCAAGGCTGAAATGGCCCGTCTGGTTGGAACTAAAACTAGATCCTTGCCCTATAGACTCTACCCAGCCCATTTGTGGTTGCTCCAGAGTGTGACCAGCTAGACCAACAGACTGAATAAACCATGGCACATCCAGGAATGGATCCCTTTGTGAAATGAAAAAAAGGAAGATCTCTGTACTGTTAATAGAGTAACCTCTGGGACATTCTCTAACTAAAAACAAAGCAAACAACAACAACAACAACAAAAAACCCACCACCAACAAAAACCCAAAAAAACCACCAACTTATAGACCATGTTTATAGTATAGTATCTTTTGTGCAAAAAGTGATATAAATATATGTGTGTGTTTGCTTGTTCTTAAAAAGAAAAAAATGGCTAAATAAATAAACAAAAATTTAAAAAGAAGATAAAAAGAGACAAGGGCAGAATAAACCAAAACCTAACAAAATGGTCTCCTTTAGGGTGAAGGAACTGGACAGAGGAGATAGGGATGGAAGCTAGTCTTCTCTGAATGTACCTGATTCATTATATATACATATATATATATATATATATATTATGGACAGTATTAATGTCCAAAAAATGCATAGAGCTTTTTATCAGAACACTGGTAAGCTATTTTCTTTTTTGGTAAGCTATTCCTGAGAGTTGGTGAGTTGGCTTCTTATCCCAGAAGCGCTGTGCTACTCATGTCAAGGATCCACTTTCTTGTCTCTTACATACGATGGTGGTTAAAATGAATCTCATACTAGTGCAGTGGTTCTTAATCAGGAAGTGTATCAGAGTGGGATATCTGAGGAGATTTCTCGAAACGTTTTTCTGCTCCAAGAGTCTAGCATAAATGGAAATCGCAGAACCAGAGGTATGGACATTTTGATTCTGACATTGCCTCTGTTTCCAGACCCTGCTACTACCTCCTTCAGTCAAGAAACCACCATCATGGTGGCTTTTTAGATAGATGGCATCCACATGAATAGCTTTAAAATGAAAGTTTAGAAAAATCAAAATAATCAAACTTCTGGCAAAGGCCATTCTATCTGCTTCTAGATTCTCTGTCCTTTCGAAACAGCTTCTCTTTCTGCTTGACACGTGAAGGCTCCAACTTGCCTTTTTCCTCAGGCGCCATCATGGCCTTCCCCAGCGTCTGTCCTTTCACGTCCTTCCTGTATTTCAGATGTGGCGTATGAGACCCAGCAATAGCTAAGTACATACAGCAAATCAAAGGATGCGGCCCAAATTGAACAGAGGTCTTCCATATCTTATCAATTTACCCAATAACATTGTCTTTCTCTGTAGAGGTTACATTTTTATGCACGTAAATGAGAATTAGAACATCTCTGCCCTGTTCCTCTCCACAGTACAGCGATACAATGATGCATGTTGCTGCCCATTTCACTGGAACATTTGCCATAAATTTGCTTTTAAAAGACATTCTCTTACAGTACTGTCAATGGCCCTTGCATTAAAAATGAGAAAAATATGGAAACGTGCATTAAAATATTCGGAAATAAATGGCTTCTTTATTACAT